TAAGCCCGGAAATATTCTTGTGAGCAAACATTGTGATGTGAAAATCACAGATTTTGGCTTATCGCGGTATGTACCTCACAGCACACGATCAAGTGAGCAAGATGGTGGGTTTTCTCGTCGTAAAGTCGAAAAAACACAAGCGCTTATGACTGAGTACGTCGTGACGCGTTGGTATCGACCACCTGAAATTATGCTTGCACCTACTGGCGTCTATAACGAAGCAGTGGATATGTGGTCCATTGGCTGCATTTTTGGTGAATTGCTTAATCGTCGACCGCTATTTCCAGGAACGGATTTTTTGGATCAACTTTCACGAGTCTTTAGCGTCGTGCCCGTGCCTTCTCGTGATCAACGTGGCTATGATGTTGAAGGTGATGCGTTAGCATATCTAGAGAGTTTACCACCTTGCTCACCGTCAGCATTTGCTAAAACTTTTCGAAAAGCATCACCTGATGCTATTGACTTACTTAGACAACTGCTATGCGTCAATCCAGCACAACGGATCTCGGCAAAGCAGGCACTGACCCATTCATACTTTAAGACTATTCGGACACAACTGGGTGAACCTCCTGTTTATCGTGTGGATAAAACGTTTGACTTTGAGTTTGATTCGCATGATTTTCCACTTGCTCACTTAAAATCTTTGATTCAAACCGAAGTGCATTTAATTCAAAAGTATGGCTTAGCTTCACCACTTGCTGTGTCGGAAGATGAAGCAACATTCAATGTCGGAGTTCATGTGGTAAAAGGGAATGAAAACAGTCAAGAGCAAGAAATGGATGATTCTGTCAGGAAAGAATCGGTGGAGAAGCTTGAAAAGACAGCGAGTTTTGGACCTGAAGACGATGTCGAGAGTCGCGTGATTGAAGTGAAAGATTCTTCGAGTTCAGAGACACAAGGAGTGAAGACAGCGTCTATTACTAGACATCAGGAGGAGATAGAAACGAAAAAAGCAATGGTTGAAGTAGAAAAGCAGAATGAAAAGCTAGAGATGGACAAGTGTATGACGTCGTCAAGTACCGACGTCATGTACTCTCGTAGGTCTGTTGTTGATAAAGCTGTCACGAGCTCGTTGATCCGCCCGAAAAGTGCCTTATCATCTCGCAGTGCGAGCCGATCTACAACAGCAAGAACAGTGAGTTCTGGTCTCGACCGCGATATCGAAGACGACGACGACGTCAGATCTATTGCAAGCAGTATTAGCAATAATCGACAATATCATAACAATAACGGGCTAGATGCTACTGATTTAAAGGGTCGATGGGGTCATTTACGCTCAGGCGCCACGGCGTCCACTGCGTCGTCGTCGCGTCTTCATCGTATGATTCCTCACCATGGCACATCGACGACATATATTTCATCCACTCGTGACCGTCTCGTGAAGACTGCACCACTAGCTACTTCTCGAATCTCAAGAAATAGCAATAATCAACAACATGCACGAGGAAGTGAGTTGACTGATCGCACATCAAGCAAAACTGAATCTGTGCGTCGACCAGAAGGTGTAAGCTCAACTTTGGCTGCTGCTACTGCTTCATCGCTGCGTCGACAATCTGGAGCATCGAAAAGTACGCACACAACATTAGCTGCACTACCTGATGGCTGGATACGTCGTATTCATTCGAAGAATGGACGTGAATATTATTATGACACGAACAATAAAGTAGCATCATGGAAAATGCCAGTCAAAGTTTCTTTAGACAATATGTTTTGTGGGGCTTCAAATCCTCCCTCGATCTCATCCGCTCGAGGTGCGCCCAGTTTATCAGTTTCCACATCTTCTTCACCGTCCAGTGCACAAACTCCAGAGTCATTCACGAGTCGAAGTTCGTTACTATCAAGTCGACGATCAAATGCGAGTTCAACTAGTAACTTACCAAAGGAATGGGCACGTCGGTCGGATCCAAAAACCGGTCGTTTGTTCTACGTCAATCTGGTCACGAATCGCTCATATGCCAAGTTGCCATCTTCGGTTACAGCTGCAATGTTAAATCTTGGTCGTCAAATAATTACCAATAGACGCGTCGCTGCTGAAGCTATGCATCGAAAGAAGCCGACGATTGGTCACAGTCCACAATTTACACAAATGTCTTGGCAGCGAAAGCGGGTTCCTGCTACTGACGAGTAATTGAGGACAAGATTCGGCATCATGTGCTTCACGAAAGTCGGTGGTATGGAATTTTAAAGACCAGAGATCAAAATAAAAGTGGGTATTTATGTACCTTTACAAGATCAGATACGATAGTCTCACTTAAGTTGTCATCCATTCGGTTTGAGCATATA